TTCCTGCAGATCCTCACACACAACAGGCAGGCTCTGCCACCAGATGGTGACAGGGCTAACCCTCTTTAAGTCTGTTTAAATGTCATCTTCTCAAAAGATCTAACGTGACTACCCTATTTAAAACTATAACCTGTCCCCTTTCTCTTTATTTTTCCATACCAATTATCAGCTTCTAACATGCCATATTAATTCATTTATTTATGTTTTAGCATCTGTCTCCCTTGACTACAGTGAGCTTCCCAACAGCAGGGATGGTTTTTTGTTCACTAGTGTATCTCAAGCTCCTAGAACAGCGCCCAGGACATTAGAGACATTCAATAATTATTTGTTGTATGAAACTATTGTTTGAAAGGACCTCTGCCTCCTCTTTTCTTTGGCACACTGTAGAGAAAGTATTAACTATCCTAAAAATAGGTATACAAATTTATTTCCAGCATGAACCGAGTGGATGCAACCTGAAAGATAATGACATTATATAAACAAGAAAATGGTAAGGAGCCAGGAAAAAGGAATTCCACAAATAAGTAAAACAATTGATTGCCTTCTGCTGTGAGACAACTTGCAAAAGGCAAATGTAGAAACGTTTCATGGATCAAATTATAGTCTATACACTAAAAATGAAGTCCTATTGGGTAATAAATGGTATTTTTATTTGAATAAAATCACAAAATACAACTTGAAAAACAATTATTGGCCCTAAGCCCTTCATGAAGGAATGTCCTGAATGCAGAAGGGCCTCTTAAATTTCCTAATGACAAACATATTAAGTAAAGTTACCTATAAATAAGGTGGAAGCCTCGACACCTAATACCATCAGTACTCATCTACCAATACTTAAGGGAGAACTCCGCTTCATTATTGGGTTGGCTAGGACTCTGATTTGATTAGCAACACAAACTTCGTTATCCTTTCTATGATTGCTTCCAATACTGGCTCACTATTGAAATTCTGAAGTTTAAGCTTCAAAAATAAACTCCTAAATTTCAAGCTGGCTCAAAACATATCCAACCCCATTTTAATAAGTCATAGAACACCACCATTCCTTATTGTTGACTAAAATAAAAATTAAAAACATTAAAAATAAAGCCCCCAAACCCCAATCTCCAGAACTCATTTAATTCTAAAAATTAGATCTCTGCAAACTTTAAAGTTGTTTATCATTCAGCACACTATTTAAAACTATTTTCAATTTCTTAGTTTGGAACATTAAAATAATGTCCTTGGGAGCAAACCAAACCAATTTTAACATTTAAAATATTATGTGTACAATTTGCAACAAAGGAGATTACAACCATTCTCTTATAATATGACAATAGTCGGAAGCATATTCTTCAGTCAGGTAAGGTAAAGGTCTTCTCTTGCCCAATAAATCTGACATCTTGTTACCATGAAATTGTATTCTGGATAATTTGGTTGCAAGAAGTTCCCTTGAGACTTCCTGACAATAAAAGTTTATTAGTATCTCCTGTATTAACCTAAATACTTTTCTCCTATACATGAATGTAATAAGAAATTACATTTACTGTATTACTGTAATGTGACTGGTACAAGGTATTAAGATGACTCATTCAAAAGTGACAGTCTACAAGAGTGAACGTTCTCATAACTCTGAATGAGTGACCTCCTGGACCTTATTCTATAATTTCACTAGTATATAAGTGGCTTCACTTTTTCTTTAGAAAATGACAAGACTCATTGTCTTGACATTTTCCCTATAGATCTGTTTGCAATCAAGCATGATAATTGATAACATTCACTCCTATAAAAGCAACACAAACTTAAGATTTTTATCATTTATGAAGAAAATTCATGCAGGGCACAAACTTTGTATGATCATGACTACTGCTCCAGAGCCTGGCAACTTCAGATACTTAATAAATATTCATTTACTAAATGAGTAGTGCTTGCAAATAAAACCCAACTATTTCTGTTAGAGAATCCAGTATTTGGTAAAGACCTCTGCTTAAATTAAATTATAAGTGCAATATAATTTGTAGACTTATAAATTTAATTATAGTCAGAAAAAAAATTTATTCTAAATTAAATGTTTCAATAAATAACAAATATCTCAACAATAATGCCAATAACTATAACAAAAATACTTGGAAAGTAGCACTTTTTTTAAGAATTAAGAAAACAAGTCAAGAGCCAATTCTCATAGAACTTAGTTTAAAAATCCCTTAATATCAAAATACAGCAAAGCTAGTAATTTTTAAAATAATTTTCAGTAAAAATGTGTCTGTTTGTTAGTTATCAGTCTAATTACCTTAGTTCTCTTCTTAGTAATAAAAGTTGCACAGATTCAATTAAAGCCTTTCAGTTTTGAGGTAACTGAGGCTAAAGAAAAGGTAGGGATTATCTCACTGAGTTATTACTGATGTTAGAGGACAACTCAAAAGTAGTTCTGTTTACTTTGTTAACAAGTTAGGACTTAACAACTCTCCTCATGACTTCATCATAACTTATTTTTAAAATGTAAAGATACACAAATTAATTTCTCATTCTATTAAAATAATCTACTAAACTGTAACGATGTTTTCATTCACACTGTTTATATTGAATATAAAAGACATCAATCAGCTGCCCAAATATTTGAACAAGGCAAAAAGGATGGTTTAGGGAAGAAATTACAACAGAAAAGATGTCGGAAATGTGATGATAAAACCTTACCTTATCATATTGGCATACAACAACATTTTCTGTATCAAAGAGTTCCTGTCCTTCCTCATCACTCACATCATCTTCACTATTGAGGGGCTCCTACAAATAGAAAGGGAGAGTTTATTTTTTTCATACTTCATGCATTATTGGAAAAGGGCAGTTGGCATTTTACTGGAAAGTTGAAGACGTGCACGCCTTAGGACCCAGCAATTCAGTGTTTAGATATAACACCTAGATAAACCCCTGCGTATGTGCCCCCAGATGACACACACTAGAATATTTTATAACTGTAATAGTAAACAGGTAGACACAACCCTAATGCCATCACATCAGAAAAATAAATAGATTATGGTACATTCAACAATGAAAATAATTACAGGTATATGAACCTCAGGGGAAAAACCCAAAAACTTCCTGACTAATAATCCTTCTTCCATTTATAAGTATGCAAAACTAAACAATATGCTCTTCAGGAATATAAAAGCATATGGTAAAATGTAAGGGAAGTTAATGATAAACGCACGGTTCATGGGCATGGTTATTACTCTGATGACAAAAGGAAGAGGACTGGGGAGAGGGGACTTTAAGTAATGGGATTTTTTTAACTGGATGTGGACACTGGGTGTTTATATTTTAAAATATTTTTAACTCATTTGTATCTATTCAATATTTAATAAAAATAGTATTTTAAAAAATATATTACTTAGTTTAGAAGAACTTTGTACTGAGATAAGCAAGAAGATTACATCTGAGGCTGAAAAAGGCAATTAACAATTAAAATTGTTGTAAGACAAATATCTTGAACACAAGTAAATAAGGTGGAACACTGAGAAAAACAAAGATTTATATGCTTCTAATGTATAACTAAAGACAAATAAGAGCCCTAGCTGTTTTTGCTCAGTGGTTAGAGCATGCTGGCCCTCGAACTGAAGGGCCCCGGGTTCAATTGTGGCCAAGGGCACATACGTCGGTTGCAGGCTCGATCCCTGGCCCTGGTTGGGGCGCGTGCAAGAGACAACCAATCATGTGCCTCCCCCACCCTCCACTCTCAGAAAAGCAATGGAAAAAATACCCTCAGGTGAGGATTAAAAAAAAAAAAAAGAAGAAAGAATGTTCAACTGAGGACAGACACTAAGAGTAGATTAGGTTATCAATGGAAATGGTATGGCATATGGACCAAAAGGAGATTCTGAAAAATATCTGTCACATTTAGCTTTTTTCTCAAGTTTCATCTCTTCCCAAATGTTGCTGCCCCTTTAATTACTGAAGCAAAAGGTTAACCACATCTATCTGTTCTACCAATGTCTTATGTTTAAGCCTAATCATGACTGCATAAGCCAAAGAATTAGAATTACTTGCACTGTCTCCACCATCTTTATAAATACAACTTAATTTGGTATATACATTCATTTTTATTAACAGCTTTATGCACAATATTTTATGAAAATAAATGCAACCAGAACAATCGAATAACCTTATTAAGTTAGAACAATCTAACTCTATATTTAAAATCCTACATTGTATGGCACCCTGACAGCCTCTGAAAAAATAGGATATAATTCAAGTTTGGCACCAAGTAAAAAAAGAAATGACTAAGTAGCTTCTCATTTCAAGTCTTTTACTAGAAACTTACCTCTTCTACCTGCCCGTCTTCAGCTCCATCTTTCTCTTTGTCTTCCTCCTCATCATCATCATAGTCTTCTTCTTCTTCTTCATCTTCTTCAGATGATGTATCCCCAGTTCCATCAACTTGTAACACCAACGGAGCCTGCTGCTGAGTAGGCTGGGCCTGTGGTTGCTGTTGGCCAGTTGCAGTTATCTGTGCTTGTGCTGGTGTAGGTGCCGCCACTGTTGTAGGTATAACTTGAGTCTTATTTCCTGTAAATAAGATTTGCTGAGGCTGGATAATGACACCTGTCTGTGGTGAAATCCCTCCAGGAAGAGGAGCTAGTACCTAAGGAAAAGAACGCCAAACATTAGGAGCTAGCTAAAAGGATCAAGGAGTTGTTTCATTACTTGATACACAAAAGTAGTCCCAAATGCTGAAGAAACACCCAAAATGGCCATATCCCATACACAGTTAAAACTAGAAAGCACAAAGAAATGTTTTAACTAGTGTACTGATCCACTAAATTTCCATTTTATGATTCAAATTTCTAAGAAAAGAAGATTTTTCTGAAGATAACTGCTTCACTTGTTAAGCACTTGCTATGAATATGCCAGATTCCAGGCCAAAAGTTACACAAGTTAATATTTATTTTCTTGGTGAATGGAGAGGTTTAGTAACTTTCTAAGCTTATAGTCACCAAAAGACAAAATGTGAACCTAGGCTTTCTACTTCTGCTCTTATTATGATGCTACACTGCCTCTCTATGAAGAACCCTGCATGAAAATCTGAACTTCTGAGTACTTGTAACTATAGTTAATAAATAAAAAGCAGCCAAGCCAGTGTGGCTCAGTGGTTGAGCATCGACCCCATGCACCAAGAGGTCACCGGGCCTGATTCCAGGTCAGAACACATGCCCAGGTTGCAGGCTCGATCCCCAGTAGGGGGCATGCAGGAGGCAGCTGATCGATGTTGATGCTTCTCTCTCTCCCTCTCCCTTCCTCTCTGAATTTAATAAAAACATATTTTTAAAAAAATAAAATAAAAAGCAGGTAACTCCTAGTGATAAATAAAAAAGCACTGAATGGCAACTACTTGCTATTAGGTTCAAAGAATGCAAAAGTAATGAGATAGTATTTCCCTTAAGAAATGTACAGATTAGTGGTGCAATAGACAAAAAATAACTAAAAAAGATAGAAGACATAACAGAAGTATGATACGGTGTTATGAGAACACCAGACAGGTTACTAAATTCAGCTTGGGGATCAAGGCATGGTCGGAGAAGCCTTCTTACTCGGTAATTCCTGAGTGTCTATTTGTGCTTTGGGAGATTAGCCAGGCTTGTCTGTTTGGTTTGTTTGGTGGGGGTAGAGGGCATTGCTAGAAGGCCAAAGGCAGCATTCTAAATAAAAGAACAACATCAAGTGAAACCCAAAAGGAACAGCAGGACAAAATTTGGAAAGCTGTAAATAGGCTGGATTAATGCTCCTCCTCTGATCTTACTGCTATCATTGTACTATTATGTTGATATTGTCTGTTTATTGTCTGTCTCTATTTTCAAAGTACCTAAATTCCTCAAGAAAATAACCACTTCTCTTTCATCTTTGTCCTCACAGTAATAACAGCAAACAAGTAGGTGATTTGTTAACTAATCTAAGCAGCAGCTGAAGCAGATAATAACTGGAAGTATGGCAAAAAATAAACCTGAAGACATCAAAAAAACAAGAGCCCCAAGAAATTTAATGAACCATGCTGAGGAGTGTGGACTTTTTCTAATAGGCAATGTTATTAAAAGATTCTCAGATTTTTTTAGAACAATGACTATAAATATAAAGTGGCATAGTCAGGTTAAGAGGACACAAAATTGGAAGCAGAGAAATTAAGAGGATATACAGTATTTTAAGTGAGAAATTATAAGAGCCTGAACTAAGAAAATAACAAGAGTCTGAGAAAATTAGTTTTAAGCATATTAAGGAACTGTAAATATGTTAAAATTGCAGTCTGAAAAGAAGGAAGTATAAAGAATTGGTAAAACTTCATGGTACTTTGGATATTGGAGGTAAGGGAAAGGGAGGATTCCACACACTTCCTTCCAGAAAATACCTAAGTATCATGAAACTAGACTCATGCCTGTCTTGTTCACCCCTAACTCTTCAGTCCCGTGCAGAAATCCTCCTATACAGCCACACAGTAAAGGCTGGTTGAATGAATGCTGAGTAACGAGCTTAGGGGCTGGACGGAGAGGGGTGAGTAGGGATTAACATCAATTTAGTCTTAAACACACCGAACATAAATTAAGCTGTGAGCTAGACAAGAATTTAGAATAACAAGGTGTATAGTACTCAAGAAGAATCTAACAATTTGTGTAAATAAAGCCATAAAAAAGGGAAGAAAACCACCCAGGGAATTCATACAGAAGAAGGAAAAAGAGTCCCACACTGATGACAACTTCAAACTCTTTTACCTGCTGAATAACAGGAGCCTGTACTCCACCAGGCTGCATCTGTGGTATCACCTGTTGCTGCAGAACCACGGACTGCTGAGGCTGAAAGATGTACTGAGCACCGTTGGCTGCTCTGACCACTTGAAGAAGCTGGCCTAAAGCAAAAAGTATATATTCCAAGTTACCATCTCAAATGAATGAATTCATAGTGAATGTCTAACCACCAAAGGCCCTAGAAATGGTCAAGTCAAAAGTCTAACAGTTTTAAGGGCTGTCATCTATACAGAGTAAACTGCAATCCTTAACTACTCTTGACTTCCATCCGTGTTCAAATACACTGCCTAAAATGTTTTATTTTCCTTATTTATCATTCTTACAAAGCTGTCTTACAACAAAGTTTTAACAACAGATTATGGGAGTTGATTAAAAGCTTACATTGTCTTTGCTAACATGTTAAGAATCATGAGAGAGCAATACGTCAGATCATACATTTCAGGGGCTGTTCATTTTTAAAGCTTTAAAAAAATAAAAGTATAATAATTGATTAATATTTTTAATCAAAGTACCATAGTACTTAGCGTCCAAATTTTTTAAAACAATAAAGGTTTGCTGAACCAATTATCACTGACACATAACATTAATTGTATGACCGGCTTATACATATAGAACTGTGTCGCGCTTATATGTTGTTTTAAACAACCCAGAATCTTGAATTAATTAAAAAGTGAACAATTATATTTTATTAAAATATGTACCAAGGTAAGCCCCTAGTTTGTTCTTCACAAATTTAGAAATTAGCAAAACAATGAGAAATTATATAATTAAAATTACAGAGAAAATACTTAAAATCCATGTAAATTTATCAAACATTAAAATGCCAAAATCCCAGTAAATTGTGTCAGTCTATACAGAGATACGATGTAAAACAGTACACAATAAACTTAATCTTAAGATACTATGAGGATTGTTGTTTGATATCACAAACTAGTTCTAATGACTCAAGTTTAACTTATTTGGCAGGTTAAATGTTTTTATCAAAAAATTAAGTATAGAAGCATTTCTAAACAATTATACTTCATTCAATAATAGAATTCTCATTCATAGATCAAAAGCTCAAGTGCAATTCTCATCTCTACTGAGTCTTCAGCAATAATTACAATTTATGTGCTATAGATAGCCCTTGAATAATCTTATTTTAATAACCTAAGCCAAATGGTAAAAGAAATATAAAGATTTTCTGTCTTCCAATGAAGACAAAACAAAGGCTAGATGGTACAATTTTCTTAGTTAGACATATACAATGGTTCCATTTTTTCTAATTACCTGAATTTGTTAATATCTGTTGAACAGGAGTCACACCTGCAGGGAGTGCCAAGGTAGCAGCTGTAGCAGCAGCACTCTGAAAAAACAAAGGGGGAAAAAATCAAAACCACCTATATGCATAACAGGACCTCAGTTTACCTCTCGTGTATTTTAACAGTATTTAAAATTTATCATTTAGTATTTATTAAAATGAAAAGTTCTAACAGTAAAACTAAATCCCATTTTATAAAATGGTACAATAAAGACAACCTAACCTAAATGCCCTACCTAATTATTTCAAGCAATTAAGTAAAATAATATAATGGTTTGTTTTTCCCCCAAGAATGTGCTCTAAAAAAATCTCATCCACACTAATAATGCCGTACAATATATGAAATATCCATTCCATTATTTCCTTTCCTACTGATTCCTTACCCCCAAAACCTTATTGCAATTTAACATACTTGAGGCAAAACTGTAAATATCTTTATTTTAGAAATTTTAATATTTTTAACTTGTACTAGAATCAACAGGTCTGCATAGAAAACCTTGTCAGAAGACTGCACTTTTGAGTATAGCTGGTAATTCTAAGATGCCATAAGGTGACAACGCCGGCATTGTATCTAGGTAAAACAAACTAATAGTTTTTATTCATATAAAAATACCTTACAATCTTAAAAAACTCACAAACCTTTTAACTTATACATTTTAAAACAGAGTTAGTATCTGACATTTAAGTTACAAAAATATACATGGGCCCTGTCCGGGTGGCTCAGTTGGTTTGGAGCGTTGTCCTATACACCAAAAGACTGCAGGTTCAATTCTTGGCCAGGGCTATACCTAGATTGCAGGTTCAGTCCCCAATTGGGGCACGTGTGCGAGGCAACCAATCAATGTTTCTCTCACATTGATGTTTCTCTCTTTCTCTCTCCGTCTTTCTCTCTTTAAAAAAAAAAAAATCCATAAAAACATATACTCTGAGTTTCCAGGATAAATCCTTGATTTACTTGCTCCTGGAGACGTCTTCCCTTCCTTCAAAAGAATCACACCACAGTCTTACTGTTTTTTAATTCTATGCTCAAAGCATTTCTATGTATCTCACTATATACATAGGTAGTTTTCCCCTCCTCCCTCAATCTTTTTTAAGGTATCAAGCCTTCATATAACTCAATCTAATCTATACATTTTTCAGGAACACTTCTATTTGAATAAGCTTCAAGAAATAAACAGAACTGTGCTTAGGAGATGCTAACACGGAAGTCAACAAAATTTGGAAAATTACACTCAAATAGGTTAATGATACAACTACTATCTAGTCTAGGCTCTAGGTATAGTTTTCCAAGAAAATATGCTTGTTGTTGCCACTTGACAGGCCTAGGTAATTTTGACATCTTTTTTTTAAAATATATCTTTATTGATTTCAGAGAGAGGAAAGGAGAGGGAAAGAGAGAGACAGAAACATCAATGATGAGAGAGTCATTGATCGGCTGCCTCCTGCACGCCCCTGACTGGGGATCGAGCCCGCAACCTGGGCATGTGCCTTGACCAGGAATCGAACCCCAATCACCTGGATCCTGGAACCTCAACCGCTGAGCCATGCCCGGCTGGGCAATTTTGACATCTTAAACCTGAAATTCCCACTGGTTCCCCAGAATCCAGCAATAGCCCTCCAGGCTCTGTTTATGAAATACAGGACACCCAATTTCAAATAAATCTGGCCTGTAAAGGCAAACAAAAGGTAATCTACGTTTCAGGAGCTTAACCACTTGAGAAATATTACTTAGAAATATTAATTTCCTATAATTAATATTTTATAAGGATAATATATCTCCCTTTATGGGCAAACTGACATAGTGGTTTCTATATAGGACATGACAGAATCACCATCTGCACACACCTCTGCACATTCAAGTTGCTACTAATAAGTATCTGCTGAGTGAGGTACCATACAGATACTATCTTTTATCGATGTCTGCCAAAAATTTCTTCTTGCATTTTATGAAATAGCCCTACTACAATTAATGCATTAGAGTAATCATTTCATTAAGAAACTTACAAAACTGATTTGATATAAAGTACTATTTTCTAGTTCCTTGAAATAGGCCTCTACCTAATATCACTATCCTATATAATTATAAAAGTACATGATTTTTATTTATGTTCATTTTCAAAGCATAGAGAGCTATTAAAAAATCAAAACTGTTTTAATGGATATCTCTAAATCAGAAATAATAATGTATATAAAAACACAAAAACTTTTATTTGTAAACAGCTTATACTGATGTTTTAGAACATGTGAAATACATGGAGCAAACTATGAAAACATCAAGTAAAATGCGGAAATACACATGAATACTAATACATTTTACTGATTGAAGTTTCTGACCTCTGATCTGTTAAATAAATATGCTCTTTAGAATCAAGGAGATGTAACAAATAAGTAAGAGAGAGGCTACTGACTTTGCCTAGGTCTCTCTAAACACATTCTCTCCCACAACACTTAAAATTCTTCAAAACTGGATGGGCCTATACTATACTACAAGTGATTTTACCAAACTTGTTTTAAAATGACACAAGTTATTCTCTAGGAAACAGTCCCAACAGTACCAACTGCAATATGAATCCTACAGTGAGACATTTATTTTTAAGAGTGAAGGTTAAAAAGGAATGAGGAGCCTTAGATTCGAAATAAAAATTTTTGAATAATAAAACTTCTTGTGAGAAATACTAGGCATGGGTATTTGTGATTTTCATACAAAAGAACTGATTCCAGCAACTTGAACTGAAAACACAAATAGAGATCCCTGATTTTTTTGAGAATTTTAAAATTTCAATTTCTACTTCCATGTAAAATTTGCACTTCTGCCCAACTATGAATTTGTAAGGCTGGTATACATAAAGAAGTCATTTGTCTAGTAGGTGAGCCCTGCTTCTTGTCTGGCTATAAATCATGAATGAGTTCTGAGATTCACTGCTCATCACTCACCAAATATAAGTGATTTTTTAAAATATTGCTTTTTTTCTTTAAAAAACAAACTGTACCTGAAAAAAACCCTCATTGCTGGCACTAGGTTAAGAGATCTTTTTAAAAATAATGATTCTTACCTTTAAATAAAAGATTTGGCTGAAATGAAGAATAAAATGTCAGAGCTGATATACCACTAACAGTCTATAAATTTAAAATAGAACAAAGAAAAGCTATTTATGAGAAAGTGCTAGAACAAATATTATATACCCTAAGTAAAATTTGAAGACTTGACTATCTTTGAAGTTCAGTGGATATCCCTTAGAAATATCTAAAGTCTAATGTATAATAAATACAACTGGTTAAAATGCGTTTTAAATATATTTTTATTTATCTCAGGTAGAGAGGAAGGGAGAGGAAGAGAGAGATAGAAACATCAATGATTAGGGAGTCACTGATCAGCTGCCTCCTGCGCACCCCCTGCTGGGGATCGAGCCCACAATCCAGGCATGTGCCTTGACTGGGAACTGAACCTCGATCTCCTGGATCATAGGTCAATGCTCAACTGCTGAACCGTGCCGGCTGGGCTAAAATGCATTTTAAAGTAGCAATTTATGTATTTTAATAAAACTTATTAGGCTATGCTATCATTAAATCTTGGCAAATTTTTTTAAGTGTTTGATCTTAAAAACAGTTAAACTGAAGTACTTGCACATTTTTTCAAAGTTGTTAATCCTTAGCATTCCTGACCTCTTGCAATTAATAGATCTTTTGCAAATGAACTATGCTTGGCAAAATATGTTTGGTAGGTCCCCTAAACCTCTTTTCCAAAAATAGCAGGGACTGAAATAGCTTCCACAAAGTGTCATTCTTTTTGGTATTTTCAACAGAAAATTGCATGATTTTTATGAACCTCAATGTCTTAGTATCAAGCTAAACTTTAGATTTGCTTCTAAATCCAACATTTAGGAAATCAAATAAAACAGTCATTTTGCTTAAGCCCTGAATAAACTTTGCTAATACACAATCTACCTAGCTATAATCACAATTTCAGTTAGAATAAATTGAGCCAAACACAGTGCTATGTTCTGAATCTTACCATGTTTGATGCATTCATATGCTGTATCAGCTTAGAATCAGGAACAATAACTTGGGGTGCTGCAGCTATTAAAAACAGAAGCACACATGCAAACAAGGAACCATGAGGCCAATTCATGATCGTAAAAATGCCAGACAAGGCTGAAAACTTTTTTCATGCTTGCCACATTTTCTTCATTCAATTATACTCAACCATCTGATCTTAGAATGTTATAAATTTCTATGGTGAAAAACAGCTATGAAAATACACACCTTCTACTGGGAAACATCAATTAAAAAAAAGATTTGAGTAACTATACCTAAGGACTCAAGGAAACCTGGGAACAAGAAGCAGTGAGATAGATACCTATTACCTAAACATTATATACATTTCTGTGCATTCTTAAACTGGAAATTGTCTTGCTAACTTAACATTAATAATTTTGTTGACATAATATTACTGTTGGCGTGAGTTATTAACCCATTAAAAGTGAGCTCAAAAAGTTAAAACTAGGTGTGTTTTTTAAATCTACACAGCCCTTTTCTCTCAATTTGACAGTGGCCAGACTCTTGCTTCCATCAACTTCTGAAAAATACAAATCAAAAATAATGGCAACATTACTTAAATGTAAAAGGAATTAAGTGTTTGATTCCGCAAATTTCAGAGAATAAACAGATAATCCCATTATCCTAATATTCTCTGAGTGAAGAAAATCAAATTTTAATTTATGATGACCTAAAATCCTAGTGCCAGGCCTGAAGGCAATAGGAGGAACAGTCATCAAAACAGATTAAAAGGATAACATTATTTGATGCAAGGTATAAAATAAAAACAAATATTAGAAGCCTTATTTGATATAAACAGCAAAATAACCAAAATAGACATTTCTACTGTGCATCACCAGCTATATACTCTCAAATGAGGCAAATAGGTAACTAAACAGCTACCCTTAAAATAATCTTTTCATCTACCTTCATTGCCCTCTCCAATAAGATTTACAAAACTCGAATGCCCAGGAAGTTCTGTAACTGAATACAGTAGTCCGCCCATATTTGCAGGGAGATACGATCTGGTAACCGAGAGGGCTACTACATATACAGATATACGACATGGATCACTGGACTAGGAATGATTCATGTCCAGACAGGCTGAAGCAGGACAGCTCGAGATTTCATCATGCTTCTCAGATCGGCACACAATTTAAGACTTGTGAGCTATTTACTTCTGGAATTTTCCATTTAATATTTTCAAACCACAGCTGACCAGAGGTAACTGAAACTGCGAAAAGCAGCACTGCTTATAACGGAGGACTACTCTAGGTGTTTTGTCATGACATAAATACTTACTATATGTAACAAATCAAACTTCTTAGCCTTTTCAGGGCCCAGGTATTCCTCAGCTTTGAAATGTTGTAGGAGCTACTTCATAAAGCCTTTGTAAGGCTTCAATGAAACAAAATCTATAAAACGACTTGCCGAGTACAAAGCAGTATGGACAGTCTTTAAATACTTGTAATACAAATACAAGTAATGTAAATTAAGATGTGTTATGTATCCACTCTTCACTTAAAAGAAATCTAATTCAATTTAGACTTACATAAATTACTAGGGAACTGCAATTTCAGATTGCCAAAGAATAGTTACAAAAATCCTCCAATGTTTAAGATATATTCATAAAGACTAAACTCAAATATGTCTTTGAAGGAACAAATCAATGTCATAAAGAAAGCAGACAGTGATTTTACTATATAAAACAATGAAACACTTACTAAATAAATCTTTATAGATCTGACTTATTTTAGGAAATCCACCATTATGTAGCCTTTTCAAAAGAAAGTATCAATACACTTATCTGAATATGTTAGGCTGTCAACTAGTGACTTACTTATTTATCATTACTATACAAACAGGATCCACATTTTATACAAATTTGTATGTTAATACAAACACATATACCCACCTTAACCAATAGAAAAAAGAAACCCAGAGTATTTCTCTTCTTTGAAAATGACAAATTTCATTTTGAAGTTGTAAGAAAACATATCCAGCCTCACCTTGCTGAGACGCAGGAATAAGGACCTGCTGAGTCTGCGCTTGCTGAGGTACCGTAGGCTGCGGTTGAGCTTGCTGGTGGTGGTGGTGATGGTGATGCTGCTGCTGCTGGGTTTGATGCTGCTGCTGAACTTGCAATAAAAGCTGCTGCTCTTCTGAATGAAATCCATCTACTGCCCTAGACTGCATTAGTTTATTCTCCCATAGCTAAGACAAAGAACATTAAAGATTTCTAAGTGAAAGTCAGGGAAGATAACTCCAGACATATGGACATAACATGATTTGTTTATTTATTAGTTTGTTTATAAAATCATTCCATCTTCAAAACTGATATAACCACAACAAGCAACCAATCTCTAATTCTTACCCAAGTGTATGCAATAATAAAAACTAATTTTTTAAGTATCTAACTTCATTTTGTTACGTTAGAGTACTAAAGAATTTTTTGTTTCATTTTGTATCTTCAATAAACTTTTACAGTAATTCCTTAGTTATTTACTATAGGCAGATTTTCATATAAGCAAATTTTTAGTAATCAAAGAAAACCCTTTTTTATACAAAATCTATTATTAACTATTTTTATGGAAATCTTTCCTTAATACAATGTTTTCTAACTTTTAAATAACATACAAAACATATACACATCCTCTCTTGATCTGATCAATGAGAAACATTACTGAGGCAATCCTCAAATTAGAAAAGCCCAAGTTTCCATCTGTCCAATCCTACATAAGGGAAAAAACCCCAAAAATGCCTAATGCTTTTAGAGGTATTCTCAACCCTCCACACTTCAACTTCCCTCCCCCTTCCATTATGACAAGGACTGACAATCCTTTTCTGCTTAGCCACTTCTGTTTTTCTCATTGCACCCTAAGAGAATTTCTGTGACAAGGGGGTAAAATCAGAAGTGGGCAAAAGGAAGAAGGAGAAGAAAATATTTACAACTATTTCAACCTTCTCCCTAACACGTTCCTTCTCCACCAATGGGTGTTCAATCTAGGGCCTTAACCCTTATAAGAAATTGCCAAAGAAAGCCACAAACTAGCCCTGGCCAGGTAGCTCAGTTGGTCAGAGCACCGTACCAATATCCCAAGGTTGTGGGTTCAATCTCTGGTCAGGACACATACAAGAATTGACTAATGAATGCATAAATAAGTGGAACAACAAATCAATGTTTCTCTCTCTCAAATCAATAAATAAAAAAAGTCACAAACTGTTCCTTAAACATAAATAAAACTTAATTCATTTCTGTACATAAGGATCTATATATACTTTGTTTTCTCCCTCAGAATCTAACCTTGAGATTTACCTAAATCACCTGAGGCTTCTCTCAGGCCCTTCAAAAAGCTCCCTTTGCCATACTTACGGGGATGTTTATAATCTCTTGACACCTCCACCTGGTTCTAGATTTGTATCTACCTGCTACTAACAATTCCAGTATATCTCTAATGACTTAATAAAAAAGTAAACTAAAGGTCAATTTCCCAGAGCAACCATTCCCCTAGCAGGTTCAGTATTTAGCCTTGCCTGAAGACTAAATACATGAGAGGATAACACTATCTCATGAGTTGTTGTGAGGCCTAAATAAGATACCTATGTAAAACATTTATCACAGTCTAGCATAAAGTCAGTGATTAATAAATGTTAATTATTATAATTACAGTTATGGTAATATTATAGCATTACACCAGAAGTCGGGAACCCAGTTAGTTCTGGTTTGGCCACTAATTGGCTTTGTGGACAAATAATTGATCTTTCTTGGGCATTTTCCTCATCAAAAAGAGAACAAGTTGACTTAGATTATACTTCTAAACTCATTTCCAGCTAATAAATCTAAGTCTCTGCAAATCCCAGACTAAAAACAGCAAGGGTTGTTCCTAGGGTTATAAAGGACTACTTTTTGAGAGCCCATGTTGTGCCTGGTTCATCTCTGTAAAGCACACAGTACCAAACAGGCACTTAATGAGTTCCATAAAACCTAGCTTTTGTCCCACTGGTGTAGCTCAGTTGGTTCAATGTCGTCCTATGCACGGAAATGTTGCCAGTTTGATTCCTAGTCAAGGCACATGCCTCAATTGCAGGTTCAATACCTGGTCGGGGCACATACAGAAGGCAACCGATCAATGTTTCTCTCTTACACATCGATGTTTGTTTTCCTCCCCCCCGCCCCTGCTCCCCAAGCATGTCCTCAAGTGAGGATTAAAAAAAAACAACCCAAAAACAAAAAACCTGGCCTCTTGTGAGCCAAAAATTAAGGTGAAAAAAAATGTACTATTAATTGCTTTAAGAAACATTTTCTAAATTTAATGCTCAATTTTATCACCTCCAATTGGTCTACCACTGCAATATGACCCATCTCATGAAGCATCCATGGTAACGGCAAATTCTAAATGAATTACATATTATGTACTGCTAAGTGCTGGATATCACCACTCACCTGACCTTCCAAGTCAATGACCCATGAGTCAGAATCCACCCCAAACCCCCATGATTACTGTCAATTTCTCTTCCGAAGCACTGTTCCACTCTACCCCTGTAATTATGGCCCTGGTTCAAGTCCTTTCCTCCCGTGGCACTACTGCAAAGTAATGACTGAGCTCACTGAGCGCCCCACATCAAGTAACACATTCTAAAAGTTATTATTGAGTATGTCCTATATGCTAGACACTGTTAGTGACATTGAGAACAGTGTGAACAAGTCTAACAAAAATCCTTGTTCTCGTGGAAATCTGTCCTTCCAATCAATCTTCTACAAATCAGTGGCCCTCAAATGCAATCCTGGGGCCAACAGCATCAGCATCACCTAAGAACTTGTTAGACATGCTAATTCTCAGGTATCACAGAGACCTACTGAATCAGCAACTCTAGGGGTGGAGTCAGTAATCTCTTTTAATAACCAGTCCAGGTTATTCTGATGCAAGCTAAAGTGAGAATCGCTGCTTTAAAATCTAAACCAATGCTTTCCAAACTGCAGATTACAACCCTTTAATGGATTATTAAAAGCGAATTTGGATATTTTTTTGCAAATGCAATCAAATAAAAATATCAGACTGTACGCTTATCAAGTCAGACTCTCTGGAACAGTAGTCCAAAAATCTGCCTATTAACTAGCACCCCAGATAATCCTTCTCGCTCTAAAGACCAAGCTTCACATGGTATATATCACCTGTCCAACGGCTACTATAACTTGCACTCTAATTCCTAATGGTGGCAAACTACTAGCAGTTCCCTGAATACAGCATACATATCGCCTGTCTAAACCTTGGAAAACTACTCCTTATGATAGGCAGTCTTTCCTCATCATTCACAAAACAATGCAAATGTCAAAGCTACATAGTCTCAAAGAAATCTCTCACTGTCTCTATACCTTAGAAATATCTAATTTTTAAAAATACTGTTATACTTTTCAAGTTCTGGGCTGAGTAGCTCAGTTGGTTAGAGTGTTATCCCAATACTCTAAGGTTTCGGGTTTGATCCCCGGTGAGGGCACATACAACAATCAACCAATGAATGCATAAATAAGTGAAACAACAAATCAATGTTTCTCTCTCTCTAAAATCAATTTACAAAAAACTTCAAAAATAAAAATATTGTTATACTTTTCACACAAACTCTACCATCTCTATTAAAGAACTCCTTCAAGGCAGAGACTATGTCTTATTCCGGAGCAAAGAAAACGACCAAGAATTTACCAGACATTTAATATTAATTCAAAGTAGATAAAAGAAAATAAACTAATGTTTTCTAGAATAGTGTTTCTCTGTAAGATTCTACTGGCATTTGGGGCAGAACAATTCTTTATTGTACAGGGTGCTATCGCTGGGAAGTGTACAGAAAATGCAACATTCCTGGCTCTAACCTACTAAGTGTCAAGGGTGTCCACTAGTCATTACGACAAGCAAACATGACCCCACCCACTTTCAACTGCTTTAAGGGGAGGTAACAGAAAGGGGTGTTGGAGCAGTCCATTGAGAATCGATATTTACTAAGTACCAAATACTGTTCTAAGTAATGTACAAAATACAAAAGTAGCACCATACAAATATTTAGCATTAAGCTTGTATTATCAAATAATGTAAAGTTCAAATTAGTTGAATGTTCAATTTCATTTTTTACATCATTTTATCAAAATATTCTATTCTTTAAATATTAGCTATTTAAAATAACAATGTAATACTATTTGGGTAATAGTAATCACATTAAAACTACTAAAGACCACCAAGAATACGGAATTGTTATTTTGCTTAGAAAATAGGAAAAACCCCTTTTCCTCCTCATTTTTATAGTATTCCTTTCCCCAACACAGTAGCTATTGTTTTGGGCAGCCCTACTTCAGCAACTTTGTCAGTTCTCTGAAATTAGACATGGAGAAAATTCATTTTCCTTTACCCAAATGATTCAGATGTGCATCTGTATACCATAGTAACTAGACTAATACTAAAGTCTTACTTTGTAAATACTTTTACATACAGACTCATTTTTCAAAAAAAATCCTGTTAGATTATATTTTTACAGAAAAAAAGAACCTAAGGAACATGAAGTTATGTAACTTATCCAACATCGCCAATAGCACGCAAAACTGGAACACAATCCAGGCAGTCTGACTCCAGTGACGGCAGTCAGGGCTAGACCCTGAGAGTGAAGAAGGAAGGTCCTTTAAATTTCATATCCTGTGCATCTCACCTGTCTCACCCTAATCTGAACTTGGGTCCAAGTCTCTGATCTCTAAATTGTACTGCTGCTATCAGAACAGGTCTAGTCACAACTCCGGCACCTTCCTTTTTACTAATAAGTAATATGTATGTCATCTGGTGATAAAAGGCCCAAGTTCAAGTCTCTATCACTTGCTAAATGACCTTATCAAAACATATTCCCTCTGAGTCTATTTTCTGACCTATTAAAATGTGATTAGATCTACTGCTTCCTGGCAGTATGCTGGGCTAGAAATTCTGAAGGATTCTCCTAATTTCACAAAACATCTAGCTCCTGGATAAAATATAAGAGAACTGCATTTCTTGGCTCCATAGAAATGACGTCTGGGAACAGAGCTTTCTGCAAAGGCAAATGAAGTGAAATAACAGATTATTCAACCTATGGTCCAAGTATTTATATATAACTAGAGTATATTTAGAATAGTAGTTCCCAATCACGGGTGGTTTTGACTCTCAGGAATATTGGGAAATGCCTGGAGACATTTCTGGTTTTCAGAACTGAGGGATGCTACTGGCATCTAGTGGGCAGAAGCCAGTTACGCTGCTAACGTCCTCCAATGAATAGGACAGCCCCCTCCAAAATAAAGAATTAACAGGTCCAAAATGTCAGCAGTGCTACGGTTTAGAAACCTGATCTAGAGGCAGATAAACTGAGTTTCAGACTTGTCTCCAAACTGAGGAAGGTCTTCTCACTTTGTTTTACTGAGAAGAAAGGCTGTTTTATACCTCCCATAGCGCTTGCTGTTTGGATATGGGTAGGTCTGACGGTCTAGAAATCAGGATGATTTTATCATTCACTTTAAAGAGGATTTCTAGACTATCATTCTCACCTATAGTCACTCACCAATCTAAAACATAATTTACATTCAAAGATAGATTTACTGAAAATGAAGACTATGTTTTATGTCTTTTCTATCTCCCATAGTTCACACACTAAAGTAGGCTCATAGTGTTTCAAGAGATAACCTCAAGAATGAGGTTGAACTTTTTAATCACTTCTCTTCTTGCATTATCTAGATAAAATTCAAATTACATGCACTCTCACTACTCATTAATTCATAATACAATTCACCACTGAACCCTTATGAAACCATATGGAAGTTTTTGATGAGAGTTTGGTGAAATGGCCAAAAAGGAGGAAGGGGATGTGGCTAACGACAAAGTCCTTTATAAACCATAAAATATGAAATTAATGTCAGTTTTATTAGCAAGAATGTCTAAACTTGCAGGGTCCAGTAGAGTAGCCACTAACCACACATGGCAATTTAAACTGAAATCAATTATAATTAAATAAAAATTAATTTCTGTTCCACTAACCACATTTCAAGTACTTAAATAGCCACATGTGGCTAATGGCTACCGTAATGGAGAGCACAGATATAGAACATTTCTATCACCACAGTAAGTTCTATTAGAGAGTGCTGGCTGTCAAAATGTTAAAACTAGGACACATTCTGAAAATTCTAATGAGATCCTGAAGAAATCAGTGCAGAGAATTAAAATAACAAACTCATTTTAAACTAACAGGTTTATTTAATCCACTTACAACCCAGAATAGAAAAAACTATGCCCCATTTAAAATTTAAAAAAACAACAAAAATATTAAACTACTTTGTTCAGTTAGGTTCTAGAGTCACATATGTTATTAACCAGTTAAATCAAATGTTTACTGAATGCCAATCACATGCCAGGCATTATGTTAGAAGCTGGGGATTCAGAGTTGAGTAAGTCACAATTTGTGCTATTAGTAACTAACCATTAAACAAAAAAATCAATGCATAACCTATAAAACATATATAAATATATTTAAATATTCTATACTGTATATTATACATATGTGAGTGTATATATATGTGTGTGTGTGTATGTACATATATGTGTACATACACATATATTTAAAAAGGCAAATGTAGTAAAAATGCAGGGGGAGCTATTTGGTCTCAAAGACAGCTCATTCTCTTTGGAGTGAATGCCTTGATTCCACTGGGACCAGTAGGAAAAATCAATTCTCCAGACTGTGAAAAGCAAGAGTAATTAACAAACAATCTGGATTGACCACTAGTTTTACCTGAGATAAATTTAAGTCTTTGGTATTGATTTTCTACACCTAAAAGTGTCATACCTTCTACATAAGGTCACAGAAGAAGGACAACTGAAAAAATTATAAGAGTGGAACATAAACTGTAAAATATTCACTCCTGTAACACAAAGGAATCAAATTAAGCTTATTCTCTTCTTACTCATTTCCCCGAGATACCTCATGCTGTTTGAGCAGTTTACACTGCTCTTCTTCCAACTCACGCCTCAAAGCTGGCATTCCTTCACTTGTATTTTTAGATCTCTACTCTTCAGCTTTAGTAACCATTATATTTCTCTCAAGATAAGTATCTCTATAAATTTGTTAAAATGTTCACAGAGACACCTTTGTAATTTGATCATCAGTTTTATTCTTTCGGTCAAGCATGTGCTGGAAGTATTTTTCTGGTCTTAAGTTTCTACCATTTCTATAGCTGAACTAGTTGTTATTTTGATTTATTGCACTCTTTCTTTCCCACCTAGAGCATGCTATTCCCTCACAGACTATCTAATCTCTCCATCTCCTTAATCAAAGTGTGAATGCCTACTGTGCAGAACACAAGAATGAATTTTTCACGGTCCTGTGGACGCAAAAGAAACCACCCTAGTATATAAAAACGCTGTTTCTCTTGATTCCCTTCACCCATTTTGCACCCTCCACTCTGGGTATTTCTTTTTTTTTAACTGAATTTAATGGGGTGACATTGGTTAATAAAATGGCTTCAGGTATACAATTCTATAACACATCATCCGTACATTGTATAATACTCTATTGCATATTTCAAAGTTGCTAAGAGTAAATCTTTAAAGTCCTTCATTACCACAGAAGAAAAAAATTTTGTAACTATGTGTGGTGACAAATTTCTATTTTTGTGGTGATGATTTCACAACCGCATACAAATATCAAATTACTATGTTGTACACCTGAAACTAATACAATGTTGTATGTCAATTAGTCAATTATACCTCAGTAAAAAGTAATAAAGAAAAAAAATTAATAAAAAGAAGATAAATATATGCTCATTTCACTTAAACCTGCATATTTTTCCTTCCTCACAGGGGCAGATTCTTATTGAAAACTCTACAGAAGTTGCCAGAATAAATTGCCTAAACACCCTAAGATATATTTCATTACCATAATAAAGGTGAGATTTACTTTTAAGTTTCTAAATTACAGCCTCCACATTTCCATTGAATGGATAAATTAGACCACAACAAATGTTCCTTAGCATTCATTAACTGTGATTAACTTATTTGAACACAGCTCTAAATGAGCTCAGTGCCCAGTTTCTAAGCCAGAGTTTTAAAATGTTTTGGTCTCAGGATCCTATATCACTTTCAAAAATTACTGAGGACCTCAAAGAACTTTTATGAAATTATAACTAAGGTTTTTTAAAAAATGTTTACTAGCCCCAGCCTGGTGGCTCTGTTGGTTGGAGCAGGCTGTAGGTTCGATCCCCGGTCAGGGCATGTACGGGAGAAAACCAATCGGTATCTGTCTGTCTCTCTCTAAAAATCAATAAGTATATCCTCGGATAAGGATTTAAAAAAATTGTCTTAAATGTTTATTAATTCATTTAAAAATAATGTAACCATTACATGTTAACATAAATAACATATTTTTAATGAAAATAACTGTATGTGACATATAAAATTTAGTGAGGAATGGCTTAAAGAAAAATAGCTGGAGTCCTATATCTGCTTCTGTATTCACTTGTCTTCCCACAGCTAAGAAACAGGGAAAGGAAAAAGTATTTTAAGTGATGGTTTCTTAAAAGTTAGCTGCATTGTAAAATCTGTAGCCATATACCAATGAACCTGACATACTCTTTGATTAAAATCCATTAATTTATCTTTCACTCTGAACCAATTCTGCAACATCATGCACTGGTCATTTGGAAACATGAGTTCAATGAATTGTGCAGATATTCCAAATGTTAACATATTTCATTATAGAATATCAAATACTTGCCATTTCTTAATATCAACACTGATCTCATCTTGACCTTAAGTAAACACCTTTTTAATATTCAACACACCAAATAAGGAACATGCATAAGTAACTTTTGCTGCATATGAAATAGTTATCTCAAGGAAAAGCACATGTGCATTTGAGTTGAGAGCTGAACTAAGCATTTTTCATGGAACACAACTTTTAACGAAAATGTGACAAACTATGATTATTTGGACTTGGGCATTTGGTCAACCTCATGGACCCCTGAAAGAGGCTGTGAGAAAACCCAAGGAGTCCACGGACCATACTTTGAGAATCACTGTCCTAAGCAATAAGGCAAAGATATTACACAATTTCACGAGTCATTACACTACCCAAAAAATACAAATGCTAAATTAAAATATCTAAATATTTCTTCTTAAATCCAGTGAAAGACAGAAAACCAACAACCAAAGTAAAATATATGATAAACCTCACATCTGACCAATATTATAAAGAATCAAACTCAAGAACGTGAAATTCTTTTTTAAGCACTTACTCAGTCTCCACAATATAAACATGTTTTGGAATACAGTACATTATAAAACCATAAAAAAAGAAAACTTTTAGATATGTCAAGTAATTAGACCATAAATATAGGTTATTAACAGCTAATGCTATTGCCAGGCACTGTGCTAAGCTTTATACGATTATTACATTTACTCCTCAAAACAAAACTGTATGATAAGTACTACTAATTCCCACCTCACATATAAGGAACTGAAATAGAAAGAGTTTGCCTAAGGTAAGAAGAAGAATGATGGTAGAGTTGGGATTTAAAACCAGCACCCTTCACTTAACTATACTCCTGCAACAAAGTCAAATGTGCACCCTATGGAGAAATTATGGATTAGTCTCTGGCTAAAGAAAGTATTTTTTTTAAAAGGGGAAGAGTACAAACTCACAGTTTTTAGTTCCATCAGAACTTGTTCATCGACTCCATCATCCAAAAAGATGTCTCTCACATCATTAATAACATCTTCAATCACAGATCTGTATAATTTAGGCTTTAAAAAAAAAACAAAAAACAAAACTGTTGGAAAAGATCATTTTTCACATATTAAAATGTATAACACATTTTCGAAAATTCAATGTAACACAGTAGTACTTTTTCCAACTATCTACAACTTATTTTAGAAGATACAACTTTAAAGATATGGCAGTCCTAGAAAACGTCATTTGCCTTAAACTAGATTATTTGGTGAATGCATATTTTCATAAAAGTTTTAAGACTATTTAATACAATTCATACACAGAAAAGGTCCTTACACATACCAGGTCATACAATTTCCAGTTATAATTTTCTATGTTGTAGTCAAAACACCTAATGTGATCCAATGCTTTATGGGTTGCTATATCTAGTTCCTAATATTTTACTTCGTGTGACCCCTATTATATCTCATAACCTTGTCACTAAGTCTTAGGCTTTAGAGAACCTTATATGTACTAGAGTCATTTGCCTGGATATAATCTGAACCCAATGACTATTTAAATTTTAAAATCACCCAACTTCTGTTTTTGTTGCTCAGTCTGTACTTTTAAGGTTATCTGATTAAACTGTTCATATACCCATAATAATAGGCCTCAGAATCCCAGAGGAACAAGGCACATTGATCTCTTTCCCAAAATTTCTCTCATTCTACTACTGCGCAGTTGATGCTATGGAAGAGAATCATGAATAATCTTCAGGCTTAGTTTTTAAATTATTACTATTACTATTATTGGTATTTCTTGGGGGTGGAGGGAGAAGCTGGCTTCTGGAAGGTTGCCAGAAGGCCAGCATGAGAATACTGTGAAACACTTTCAAAAGTACAATATACAGTAGCCCCCCGTATTCACAGGGATGTGGTCCCAGACCCTCAAGGAATGACTAAGCACATAGGCGATACTTACTCCTATATACACTACATTTTCTCCTATACATACATGCCTGATAAACTTCTAGTTTATAAATTAGGCACACTAAGAGATTAACAACTAATAATAAAACAATTACAACAATATACTGTAATAAAACTTATGTGATGTGGCCTCTCTCCCTTAAACTTAATTTTTGAAAAATTTCCCAAAAATTCCACACAAATTTGATGCCTTTTCCATCTTCAATAAGCAGTTATCACGCACTATGGCCATAACTTTTGTAGTTTGAGGTACAACAGCAAAACCAGCATGGATTTCTTTTTTCTTCCCCACATTTCAGGGACAGAAGATTCATTCTTATTGAAGATCTTCAGCATACAGGTGTTTTTTTTCTTTTCTTTCTCATTAAGTCAAGAACTTTCCCTTTTTCACTTAAAGGAAGCACTTGCAGATTCTCTTTGGCGTGTCCAGATTGCCAGCAGCACTACTCTTTTGCTTTGGGGCTGCTATTTAGTAAAATGAGTATTACTTGAACATAAGCACTGTGATACTGGGATAGTCAATAACGGAAGAGTAGCATAGACGACATGGATACTGGGCAAAAGGATGATTCATGTCTCCGGCAGTGCAGGGTTGGGGGAAGATTTCAAACTTATGAATTATTTCTGGAATTTTCTATTTAATATTTTCGAACCACAACTGACCACTAGTAACTGAAACTGCTGATGGGGGAGGGGAGCTGGACAGAGGAACTACTATATTTTTTTAAAAACCAAAAGTTGGACAACAGAACAATTTGCTTATATCCTAATTTTTACATGTTAGACAAAAGGAAGTCTGCATGTCAGTGATAAAACTTGAGTTGCCTCAATATAAATCCTATCCACTATCACACAAAGTTAAGGATAACAGCCCTTTGTTAATGCTTTGTCATTATTAGTGTTCTGTATCTTGCTTAAGGTAAAAGTTACTGGCTACCAATAAAACCAATGGTTTGCTCTCATAAACAAACCTGAAACAGAAATAAATGTTTCATTAGCATCACTATGAGCAACACCCTTATCACAGGGGAATCCTCTAATAATAATATGTGCCCCTGCCTAGCAAAAATACAAATAATGAGTTCCCCCATACAACTTACCTCAACCATTAGGAATTACTTGTTCCTTTATATTACAACAAGAAAAACAATTCATTTATCTGGGTTCTCGCCTTTAATGTTCCACCACAAACTTGCTTTTCTATTTTGCCAAATCTGCCTCTGTGAACTTTAACTTATTCATGTATAAACTGTGCATCTCTACAGTGCCTCATTTTAACATTCTGATTCTATATACAAGGAAGAGTACACCTATGAGTAGCACCTTACCTATAGTGATTTAACTACTAAATTACAAAAATTCATTTATAAAGTACTTACTCAAAAGGTTACCCATTAGTGGTTATCCTCAACTTGACCACTTAATGGATTCAAGAACACTATAGTTGAAGAGGAATGTGTATTCTTCATGAAGCATATGCATAAAGAATAATTCAGCAGAATTGTTCCCAAGCTGAAAAGCTCTCAAACTATGTTTTTTAAAGTATGAGAGTTTGTAGGCACTATTTGAAATAAGTAATTTCCAAATTATTTAAAATGCTAAACTTTACTTGAGCCAAAGTTTCTACCTTTTATGAAAAACAAACTAATTTAGGATGTTTGTCCTGGTTTCAATGCACAGATATTCCAAGCACAAAGGGCCATAGTGCTTTTATCTAATGATTAATTAGAAGGTTCCTTTCCAAAGTGTTAGCCCCCTGGTGCAATATTAGAAAATAAATTGGACTAACTTCTATATTGCATATCATATTAATTTCCAATGCAATAAAAATACCACCTACTTAGAATTTTAATTTTTTTAAATCCAGTTTGCACCAAGCCACCTCCCATTCATCACTCACAATTTCCGTATACCTAAATGTATTGTGGACGTAAGATCCTACGTTGAAGCATTAGGCAGTTAATCCATTTCTCTGAAAAGCCATTTTTCTGTAATTGATATTACAGAAAAGCATAATGAAATACTAGGAGTTACATTTCTAACATATTCCCTGAATACTCAATGAACAAAATACTACAAAGTCCGGTCCTCCGCACTAACAGTTAACGTAGAAGGCAGTTTTTAAAATTCCCGACAATAAGGCACCTATCTTCTCATGCAAACACCATTAGACATCTGAGCTAAAAGTCTCCTTAAAAAAAATAAAAATAAAACATAAAGGGGCAGCAATTTTATTTTCTCCTAACAAGGGCGGCAAATCCCAGCCGCAGCATCAGAACAAAAACTTGGAGCAGCGCGAGCGGCCCGGGCGGGGTGCGAGGTCCCGGCGCGGGGAAAGGGTCGGGACGCGGCGAGCTCCGCACGCCCGCCGCTCGCCGGGAGCACGCACCTCCCAGCCCCGCTCGCAGCCGCTCTCACTATTTAAAGCCGGATCTGGTGTTTAAATGGAGAGGCGGTGACGTAGGCCTGAAAAGCACCTTCCCATCCTGGCAGAGTCTATATTAGAGAGCGGCAATGGCTCTATATAAACAGGGCAGCCAAAGGGAGGAGGACCACAAGGCGCGGGGACGGAAAGGCAGGGGAAGCGCCGCGGCCATGATGGATCGACCCGAGTCGCCAACGGTACGGAGTCGGGCGGCCGCGGCGTTCGGGACCGGGCGAGAGCGTGTTTGATTGTCACAAGAAAATTAAGAGTGGGGTGGACTAGTGATCGCACTGCGGTGGTGACTGAAAAGGTCATTTATGTGACTGCTTTTTGCAAACCTACGTGATCGCAAGTAACCAAAAAGGGACAAACGGGGAGAAGGAGGCAAATCTCAAGACGAAAGCGGGGGCACTTGGACCGCTGCAGGCTTTTTTTTGTTTGCTTTGGTGCTTTTGCTAGTCGGAGATACCGTGGGGGCTCTGCTTCCCCTTCGCCATTTTACCGATTCGGAANCGCCGGCCACCGAACCACGTCCTTACCACGGTGTTTGTATTTGCCGAGTTCGCCATTTCCACACACAACACAAACAAGAGGGGGGCAACCCCGAGGAAACAAGATCAAAACAAAATAAAAATTAAAAAAAAAAAACACAAAAAACAAAACACCGGAGGGTGACCCAAGCAAGCCACCGCAAGATTGGGGGGAAAAATTTTAAAACAAAACTGGATCCTCAAAGTAGAAGGGAGCGGTGAGAGGAGGAGGAGGAGGGGGGCAGTCCTCCCGNTTTTTTTTTTTTTTTTTTTTTTTAAAACATAAAATGGCCCCAGTGAAGGCTCCCTAAGCACGATCGCCAGAAACACCCAAAGGAACCCCCAGAGTAGCCATGAGCCTTGCACCGCGCTAAAGTGGACCGCGGTGGTCTCGGGAACTCGCCCAATTCCCCAGGCGCCGTTTTGGTGCTGGGGCTGCTCGCGGGGCCCTTCTCGAGCCGCGCGGCCGGGCCGG